ATTTATTTAAAAACTTAAATTCTTATTCTTTAATTATTGGCTATTTGTAACAAAACTTTGCTACCATGGAACCACTCTGCAGGCACTGCTAGTCAGCGAGATAATACTACTAGCCTGTTGGCTGGGATTGCTGAACTTAGAAAGGAATTAAAGGCTTTAAAAACAAGAAGAGCTCACTTGGAGAAAGTTGCAACAAAGTAATTTCATAAAGATGTAAGGAACCTTTTGGGTCAACCACTATAAAAATTGATAATAATAATAATCCTTATTTACCCCTCCGACTTCTAGATGAATCTTGTGTTTGTAAAGAGGAGGTTATCAAAGACAGCGTTATGGTAGAGACCGCTAGACCTAAAAGATACTAGTATCACCCAGGCCAACAACACTAATTATATAAATAATAAAAGCTGTAATCATAGTAAAAAAAAACTGGTTTAATAACCTACAATAATAGTAGTGCTGATAATAATAACTTTACTAACAAATAAAAAACTATTAACTCTAATAATAACAGGCTTAATCAAGTCTTTTAAACCTAATTAAAGACAAAGTGAGTAGTGGAGATAACTATGCTAGTCATGATAACAATAAAATAATAGTAGTAATACTACTAATAGTGTTAATAATACAAAAAAAAATATTGACTACAGTATTGATAACCATAACATCTATAATAATAACTTGTGAGCAACCAGCCTAAAATTAATAGAATACCTCCGATTATAATTCGTAACCAAACTAACTTGGGAATTTGTTAACAACAAATTATCGACAAAAAAATAGATACACAAAGAAAAGACCTATGCACGGAATAGTGACCATAGTCTCTGCGGACGACTATCGAAAAAAACTGACACATACTCTTGACGGAAAATTTTGTGAATATTATACATACCAGCGCCTAGCGAAACAGAGCTTAAAATGGTAATTCGAGGATTTACCGCAGAGCTGGATATGGAAACTGTAAAGGCAGATCTCATGTCTCGAGGGTTCCACCCGTCTAAAGTAATCAGAATGCGCTCGTTTAGAAAGAAAAGACAACCTCTGCCTCTTTCACTTTTCAAGTTGCCTAGATGCGAAGCAAGAATCTATGATTTAAAAAGTATAGGGTATATTTCCGTGCCTGTTGATCCCTAAAAAGAAGCTGTAGGATCTTATGGTTGTCAACGCTTTGGACATACAAAGAAATACAGTAAGTCAAGCTACCAATGCGACAAATGCGGTGGCCCTCACGAGTTGAAGTCTTCTATGAAAAACCTACCTGCGCCAGGTGCCAAGGGGAGCATCCTTCAAGTTATAGTGGATGCATACACTACCCGAAAAATGCACCTATGAGAAAAATTTATAAAAATAATTCAACTAAAGCTACCAAGAATCCTGAAAGTTTCGTTGAAGAAAATATAAGCTATGCACAGCGTACCAAACTGAACTTATCACCTGAGGCAACTAAAAGCCCCCTTAAACGACTTGATAAATAACTTAGTAGCAACACTTACCAATGCGATTAGCTCTCATCTGGCAAAGACCATATCGGAGTTATTTCAATATTTAAATAATTAAAAATTTGACTAAATTGAGGTCAGCGCCTATTTCCCTAAGGATTTTGGCATGGAATATCAACGGCGTTCGATGCAAGAAGCAAGAACTCCCAGTAACATTGTCTGAATGAACCTAGACAATCTGAAACACATCTGAAGGAAGGTAATCGATATAGAGTACGTAACTATTCTATTTACAGGTGCGACAGAGAAGATACTAGAGGAGGAGGCGTAGCTGTCCTAATTAACAGAAATGTTATCCACCAAGCGCTATATTTTTTCGACTTGGTAATTTTAGCGGTGTGAATATAATGCTCTGTCACATAGGAAAGTTCGATATAGTTTCTGCTTATATCACCTGATAAGGTTCTATATAAAGTTAATGTCGAAGGTTTTGCGGATTCCTCCAGCATCTTAATGACTGGAATTTTAAACTGTAAATACCCCCTTTGAAATAGCAGGCAGGAGAACGCCAATGGAAAGAAGTTTGCCAAAATGGCCAACGGAAAAGGTTTGGTTGTTATTGATCTAAGGATTTAAAGCATCACCCAGTCAAAGGAGCTTGTGACGAATTAGATATCACGGTAACACAAAATATCTACGTACGTGTCACCGTTAATACGCTATTTGAGCTCTCTCTCCTGAACATAACCCCACCCTCATCGAGATAGAAGATAAGTCGACCTCGAGTACTTGGGTAAAAAGGTAACTGGTTGACCAACATTTCCGGATTACTTAGACAAAAGCAAAGATTACCATGGCGCACCCCATTGAGAAAGCTCATGATTTATATATGGCTGCTGTATAGATGGAAGGAGATATAAGTGAGGCCTATAGTAGGTTCACTTCATTTGAGGAATGCAAAAGCCAGCAATATGATCCACCAGACCACATCAGATCGCTGGTTAAGAGAAGGCGAAAGTTGAGGGCAAGAGATATGTACTCTTGTGTTCTAGGCGAAAATTTTTTTTACAAGATCAGCACTCGTGTTAAGGAGGAATTAAAAGCTTGGTTTAACGAGTGCTGGCAGAATAAATTAGAGTCATCTGGGCTAAAGAATAATTCCCTATGGTAATTAACAAGAGCCATTCACTCAACAGAAATTAGGAATATAACACCGCTCAACCGCGACGCCCTCCGAGATGGTAGAGGCAATTGCTGGCTCATTGGAAGCCCACTCAATTATAATGATGTCCGACAATCATGGACACTAAGCATGTATCCGCCATAGTTACTGCTTATCTTTTAAGACCTAACATATGTAACAAAGTTAAGCTTATCACCAGCGAGGAGCTTATAACTATTATCCAATCCCTTAAAACAAGGAAAGCCATGGCCCTCGACGGTGTTTCTAATTAAAAACTTAAACCTAGATGCTATTTCTCTGATTTCAAGTTTAATTAATCTAATGCTTACCACCCTCTACTTTTCCAAGTGAAAGTTAGTAATTAATTGTTATACCTAAAAATAGGCCCTCTAGCGTTTTATTAAAGCTTATCGCCCAATAAACTTGTTGTCCTGCCAAGGAAGAGTGGCAGAAGCGGTTATCCTTGTTAGGTTACAAGAATTTGCGGATAGTATGTTTGTTTTGCCTAAATTTCAGTTAGGTTTTCGAAAAAGTTATTCCACAATCCACCAGATAGACAGAATTACGGAAGAAGCTACGAAAACTTTTAATAATAGGAAGGTAAGAGGTGTGGTCCTCTTAGATACTAAGGAACGATGGTCTAGTCTTCAAAATGATTACCGCCCGCTTCTCTTTTTACTTAAATGCTGTAGTACACTCCTATATAACAGATACCTTTATTGCTAGTTCGTTAAAATCCGCTATTAGAATTAAAAATTGGTGTCCTCCCACAAGGCTCTTTACTATATCCCTTACTTTTTTTTATCTGCACGTTCGATATGCCACAATAGTAAAAATAAACTTGGCCCAGTACGTTGTTGATACAGTCTTATTTTATATTTCCAAATCTTCCTGGCTGGCGTTTAAAAACATAGTCTTATACGACAGTATAGAGGATGGTTTTCAACATAAAGTTAATAATTAACGCGTGAAGAGTAGCTTTATGATTGTAACAAGGTTACTCCCCCGACCCCTAGTCTCTTATTAAACCAAACTGTTATCCCTCGAAAGAAGATGGTTAATATCTCGTAGTTATGCTTGACGACAAACTAAACCGGACTTGGCATCTTTCTTACGTCGTTTCTAAAACCAGAAAGTTATAGCCGTTTGTAACCCTTACTCTGCAGGAAAAGCGAACTGTATTTAAAAAGCAAACTTCTGTTATACAAATCGGTTATGCGCCCGCTGATGGTTTATGCCTCTATTGCCGGAGTCTACTTCTCAAGCAAAGATATACATCGACTATAACTACTACAAATCGGTCTGCGAAGGTGATGGTCGCCTCTTGGTTTGCGCGCAACAGCCCACTACATAGAGAGTGTAACCTCGAGTCTAACCATGAATATCTTCATAAAATTTTACTGGACTGGCTTACTAGAGCCAGCAGTCACCACGACTCACCAATTAAGCAGGACTTGATTAAGACTCTCGTTGGTGCACCAAGTTCCCGCGGACAAAGCATTTCCTAGAGAGGGAATATGGCTGATTATAGTTTATGTTATTAACCTATTAATATATATTAATATATATAAATTTTCTAATAATATAAAGGTATTAAAACTTAACTATTTTATTACAATTAATATTGTTATTATTTTGCACTTATGTCTTTATAGTTAGCTAAAGCGCATCCGTTCTTCTCGTCGATAGCGCAATGAATCGTTAGTGAAGTTGTGGTTTCTGCACCCTCAGTCAATAGAGGGAAAGTTGACTAAGCAGCAATTGATCATAAATTACGACTCTAACAAGGCAGTGCTATGAATAAAACAATCGTTTAAATTTCTAAACTGAAGGCAACAAATTCCAAAAGTATGGATCCTTTCTACAGTCTCTTGACAGTTGGCTGCCTTTGACAAAGGATTTCTTTTAGACGTTTGCGCGCATTTCCAAAAGCTTTTATATTAAAAATAGAAAAGCGTAGTTTCTAGGTTTATGCAGCTCTTGGAACAAAAGGTGAATTATAGGTCAAGACGCTTTCACCCTGATATCCATGCCAGAAGCGCCCACCACAAATGAGGTGCATAACTTACCTGCATATTTTTAGAACGATATGCAATTAATTATTATTTTAAGAGCTACAGCTATCAGCGTATAATAGCATAAAAGTTAGTAGCATACCACCAAGTAAATTTGGTACACTTTGGGCGCAAAAAGTTACACTCCCAAGTAGTGTTGTAATTAGTCACGTGGATCAGAATGCCGACACAAACGCCAGCACTCCGCTTACTTGTATCAGCAGTAGTTGTAAAAACTTTTTTATTTTTTAGTTCCTACACCTTTTCCCCCCTGATATAAAAAACGAACTTACAAAATTTATAGGAAGGACATATTTTATGGTTTTAATATACCAATGCTTTTAGTTGAGTATAGAATTCCGCTTCCTTTTACACTCGAAGAATTTGAAATAGCTCAATTATATATGGTTGGCCAAGAGCTTTTTTGCTTATCTTTTAAAATTAAATAATTTTCTTTAGGCATTTAAATGATGTTAATCCATTTTTAATAGGTTGTTAAGGCTAGTCAAGAATATACAGTAGATGGGGAAGGCGTTGAAATAATAAAAAATGAGTAAGTTTTTGTACAATGGAGTCGCCTTTCTGTTAATGCGAAAAGATATGTAGCTTAACAAATTCTTGTGTTTAAAGGCCTTACAATAATCTCGAGGGTGCTTTAGATTTTGGAGAATTATCCAAAGTGTCCATTCCTAAAAATAAAGGTATTTTAGCTCTGTGTTAATCTGATTACTTGATCTCTTAGAATAATTAGTATAAAAGATAATTTTTTTTCTGCGGGATAGTATATACTTTTTAGTGAGTTTTATATGCAGCTAACTTTTGGTATAAACTCTGAAATATAGTTACTCTATTGAATTTAATGCTGCAATTTAACTTTTTTTTTGTTCGCAGGGCAGTACACACATAAAAAATACTACATAGGTTCTCGAATCCCACCTTATGTTAAAGCAGTGCTGCCTTGTAATGCTTTATACCTTAATGAAGAGGCCTGGAACGCCTATCCTTACTGCAAAACAGCACTAACTAATGGTTACCTGGACACTGCCAAAGTTAAGTTGCTAATTTTTGTATCAGACTGTCCTCATGCATACTTTAGTTCCATGTTGAAATAGAATCTTTGCACTTCAATGATAAAGGCCAACAGGTTTAGAAGTAGACTTCTACTTCTAAAATAGTACTAACTCTTACTTTTAGGAGAATATCTTTAATTTAAAAGAGGAAGAACTACTCAAAAGAAAAGTCATACATCTGGACATTTCCGAGGACTTGTCCAAGTCGTCGGTGATTAATTTCTTTCATCCTTATGATACTTTTTAGAACCCTTTGTCTTAATATGGAAAGGAGTACAACGATAAATACGATCCCCGAAAGTTCAAGTCGAAGAAGACGGGAAGAGGGCTGCTAAGTAAAGGTTATCCTTCTTTTACCAAGCAGCTTACTCCGCTGATCTCACCTTTTCCCCCACGCAGGCTGGGAAATTTCTGCGAATCCGGTCATGTGTGCATACAAGCTGGTCAGAATAAATTTCCGTTACTTTGGGATGCAGAACAAAGTCGAGAAAATTATCGAGGACTACGAGACTCGACTGTTTCTGAGCACTTTGCGACAGGTGAGGGTATCCCACAGCTAACTGACACAGCCCGCTGCTTACCCGGCGATAAAGGCCTTTTGTCTTATAGACGAGTGGTACGCTTTAGACATGCATGCTATCCGGGACCTCGAGGAACAGGTGGAGGCCTCCGGAACGGTGTCTCGCGCTTGTACTAACCCTCCTGCTTTCCTACTATAGACAGTGGAAGACTTAAAAAAAAAAATGGCAAGCAGCACGTCCAGCTGCTGATGGAGCTCGTGGCCAAGATGGTACTTTTATAAACTAAGGGTTGTAGACGCTTGTGGAAATAAAAGTGGTTGTTCCGTTCACGTTATTTAGCCTTTTTTATGTTTGGAATTCCGCTCGCGGTGGCGACTTTTTTTACTGCGTTGTCTTTTACTGCTTCGCTCGATTTCTCCACGCATTCCTCTCTTTCTTGCCTACAAAGTTCATGCAAAAATTAATAAAGCCCGAATTCCTCTTAATTCATGGCCACTACTCCAACCTCTTCTGTCATTTCTTCCAAGCTGAAGTCAAGATCAACGTCGTTTCTGCGAGTTTGCGAGTTATAAGAAGGTCAAGCTTGCGCAGGACTATTGTACCGGTGGTGTCTTTTAAGCTCAAACCGAGAAGTCCTGTCTTTGGCTAGCTTCTCAGTTTTCATAATTCTCTGCAAACGATCTCGAGTGTGCAACCACGTTATTCAGGCTGCTAATGTAGTTTCGTTACAAACTTACAGGCCTTAAGACGGTGCTTGGCAACGGACTGGCAAAAATTTACTACAATTCTTCTGTCATCAATGCAAACGTTATTCATCTTTATATAAGCCTCTTCGCATTGTTCTTTCGTTTGGAACTCGACAAATCCGTAACCAAGGGACTCATTGGTCACATGGTCGTAAATTATCTCAACGCTACCAAAATTTATTTTAAAATAATGAAGTAAACAATAAAGGCAAACCTAAGAATTTGCCCGAAGCGACCAAAGGCAATGGCCAGGTCTTCGTTACAAGTGACAGGATTTAGCTTGCACACAAATAAGACATTTTCTGGCGGCTTCATGTCGGCGTCTGGAATATCGCCAACCTTCAAAAGAAAAATTTATAAAAACTCTTTTTCGAGTGCTGTGCAAAAGAACCATTTCCAGTATGTGGGTGGACACTCTGGCCTCCGACTCAATAAGCTCCCTTTCTTTTTGATCCTGTGACTTTGCAATATTTACTTTCGGATCAAAGTCGTCGGGGACTCTACCAGTCTAGTACGTTTTGTGTAAAACGGGCTGGAAGCAGCCTGAAAAACATACTGACCTCTAGCATCTCCCGAGTGGGTGAAGGAGAGCGAGATGGGCACCAGATGCGTGGGTCGTCCTCAAATGGATCAACAAGGACAATTGTGTGTCGGATTCTGTTAAAGAAAAAGGTAGTAGCTTAAGTGGTAAGGGTAGCTTTTAAAATTTATAGTAACCGAATATCTTGATAAGGGACACCCTCTAAACAATGAGCGCTGTTAATTAGTTCCAGAACCTGCAAGCTGGATAGCTTCAATGGATCCTCTATGAAAAAGTTCATGAACTAAGAAAAATACTTTTTATGATAAGAAAACTTAAGTTAGACAACCACTCTCTTCGACATCGGAGGCATCGTCAACCACCTCCCCGAAAATGGTGTGCTTACCATCAAGACTTGGTAAAGGCGCGCCTGTCGTTATATAAAACTTTAAAAATATATATTTAAGTAAAAGCTTTAAAAACCTAATTTTCGCTATTGATTACCTCTGAAGCATTCTGATTAGGCGCCAAGTTTGCCATGCACAACAAACCTACTTTGTCGTGCTTGACCTCTTTTTTAATTTCATCTTTAAAATAACGTTTCTGTTTTCCTTCTATAAGTCTAAAGACAATGAATTTTATGACATTGAGGCCGACCACTATAATCTTACCCCCAAATAGAAGAGTCTTCTTCATACCAAATAGAGCGGCCGGCTTTAACTATAAAGCCTTGTTGGACTTCGGTAAAAAGGCTAAAGTTGTAATATTTTATTTTGCAGAGCTTTAAAAAATTTTCACAGGCTGTTTTATATTAGTTAATAAATTTTATACTATTAAAATTTAAGCGAAATTTATATATAAATAACTCATAAATAAACTGTAATAGTTTGTCAAACCTTTTGGGGCAACGTCAGTGTATAGATCTACAGTTATATTGCCTTTACTAGTTTCTAATATAACGGACATGAATAATATGAAGAAGGAAAATTTTCAAAAGAGCTTTATAAATTAACTAGATAAGAATCAAAAGTATTTTAAAAAGAAGAGATCATCAGCAGAGCACGAGAAAAGCAGTAGTGAAATATAAAACTAAAGCGAAAGTTAATGGTTGAGGGTAATTTAAGTGTAAGGTTTACCAGCAAAGATAGTACTTTCCAAGTTAGTGAAGGTCTTAAAACTGTTGTTATAGTATAAATTTTGTAAAAAGAATAATTTATTAATTTTTTAACCTAATATTTTATAATTTTTTTTGAAATTCCTCTTATCGTTTCATAAACAAGCGCTTGTAAGTGTAATAAGCTCAGGATATTATTTAAATAACAAATTTTATTAGGGGTAGGGCCCGTTTACAGATCGAATAAAATATTGAGTTCCGTTAATTTTTTTTATAATTATCTTGCTTTCAAACTAACAATAAAATTTTCAATATATCATTCACAAGGGGATATAACTCAATACCAAGCCCCGGGGCCTCCCATTGTCGACTCTAATTAAGATACTACGCTCCTGTCGGCATCGCTTATTTCTCAGCTCTATGAAGGGGTAAGATTGTCTGCTGCTATTTCTGTTCATAAACTCTATATCCTTTTGGTTGAGGCTGACTTTGAAAAGAGATAAAAGTAATAAGCAGTATTAGTATTAAACTGCAAAATAACTGCCAACGTTTCGATGACCTGGGAAGGTAATATATTTGCGCATGCATGTTCTGTACCTTAAGCTAGGTGTACTGCATTCCCCAATGGGCACTTGGTCCCTTTTTTAACATTTCTGTAAGGACGGTAGTATCCTCTAATATCTTTGAAAGTTATTTGCGTCAATAGTTAAGTTAATGTAGATTGAACGAGTCTTTTATAGACCAGAAATGCTCATGTCTTATGCACTAATGGAAACAGTACTGCGCCCTAAACTTTTAATTTTAAAACCAAAGTAAATATCACCTTTTTTGAGATCCACTGGCACTCTAAAAGTTTAAAACTGGAGGTTAAAGGCTTCCAACCAACCTAGAAAATATCGAAGCACTTTAAACATCTATTTTGAATTTAAAAGCAACTCGTGTCAAACATTGATGTACGAGATGTAGAGCCCCCTGCAAACTTCCCCTATAATTTTTTAAAATTAGTGCTCCGGGGGAAAGCTAATATCATACCTTATATAATAACCTTTGGTTTCACTTGCCACCAATTATTATTACAAATAGGAATCGATAACTTATAATCACTTTTTTAAAGGGGAGAATTCATTTCTCTAATCTGTTAGTTAATAGTACTATAGTTGAATGAACCCTTCTGAAGCAAAATAATAATAAACGTGCAGTTATGAAAATTAGATTTAATATTACTTAAACACAGCATATAAAGATCCAACTCGATTAACTCAATTATTATTAAGCATGTTAATAATTATAATCTATGCGCGAAAAAAGTGCGTATGAATCGTAGTAACAAACGGTCAGGAATGTGTCGTCGCCGTAGCTCAGTGGCTAGAACATTGACCTGCGAAATCGATTTCGCGAACTCCATTCTCGTCGGTACAGCTCACACTTTCTGTTTTGGTGGCTACGTGCATTTAGAAAATGTGCCCAATAAGACTAGTAACAAACTAAAAAATTAACGTCTGTGCTCTATGATCGACTTAAAGAGAGTACCTTAGGCAATAATATGTCATAATAAGATTTTAGATAAGCTTCCTTTCACACAATTATAAGGGAGCAGGTAGCCATAGGAAAAAATTGTAATGTCTAAAAAACCAAGGTCAATACATAAGATTGAATAATTGCATGTTACTTAATCTTTATCCCACTTGCGCCAAATAATTAATTAAAAAAATCAACTACTACCAGTCAAAAGAATTTTACTCAATAATACACTTAAGTGTTGAAAAAAGATCCCAGTACATAAGTTTAAACGCAAATTACCATTTTAGGTAATTTTATTATTGATTATTTCATTGCTTAGTGGTTAGTATATAAAATAAACTGGCAGTCATGTTAATGTTTTAGTGCTTTTTTTGTTTTAGTCACATCTGTACATCTCTCTCTCTCTCTCTCTCTCTCTATATATATATATATATTTGTTTACAATTAATTTTAAAGGGCTTAAAGGTTTAGATACCGATCAGTAAAGGTTTAAATACCCCTACAGTAAATACTGTTTGAAGGAGCCTTATATTAACGTAAGCTGTATAACTGATAAGATCTAGGAAGTTCTATGATATGTGTTCTTAGATACCTACTCAGTAAGCATAGCGGAGTTGCCTTTAACTTTTTTTTTTACGACTGTGGAGGGTCACTTTACACCCAGCGTATCAAGGCGCGAGTTCTACACAAAAGCGTTAAAATGTGTTCAAGTTTAAGATTAAAGAGGTTAAACTAATGATGCAAGACGTTTATTATAACACTATGAATCCTAAGACGATGTAAAATACATAGTCAAATAACTTTATTTTGAATTTATATATAATTAAGTTTAAAATTGTTGTCAAGAGGGCCTTTTTTAAAAAAAAACTATTAACCATGTAATATTGTGATTAAAAAATTATTCTTATATGTCGTTAGCTGCCATCCTGATAACTAACAGGTTTACAGTTAATGTTAAAATATAGAGGGTATATATAAATATAAAATACGCATAAGAAACACAAATAAGATAAATAATACAAAAGAAGAAAAGAAACGAAGAAAAAGATTGAAAGTTACAATTATTCGAGAAGTCAGTATTTGTTTTATATATACATTCATTAAGATTATCCAGCATTTGCTTAAATTCTTTTACATCATAAATAAACAGGAAAATGTCTATTTATAGAAACATGGATTTGCATTAAATTGTCCAAATCTGTTCTCACAATTGTGGTAAACAGGTACTAGAGACGAAGTCCATTGATAACAGATTCAAAATATCATTTACGTTAACTAATAAGTGCTTCCTTATACCTTTATGTATTGACCTATACACTTTTTTAAGCCTAATAGTTTTATTATCACCATTTTTAGTATCAAGTTAATTTTATATTTGCAACAACACCCAGGAAGAAAACCGTTAGATCAACAGGATTTAGTGGTCTAATAATCTTCGCAAAATAGCACAGTGGTTTAACTTGTAAATTTAATTCAAGGATTGAAGCGGTTAACATTGAGTGGACACAAGGGAAAAAAATGGTACATGGCAATAAAGAAAAGGCCGAAACCTTGCCTAATTTTTAGCACTGGTATAATAACCTTATTTATATATCTTAAACCAAGCTTTACAGTTATTAAAAGATTCCCGGATAACTTAACTGGTTCTTTAACAATAACTTTACCTTAGAGATGTCAGAAAGCAGTAAATAATGTAATCTCAAGGGGGTGTATTTTTTCTTGAGCTGGCAATTTTCTCAGAAAGTCTTGTGTTTCGCTTAGAAAAAAAAATTTATAGATATCGTCTTAATAAGTTGGGGGAAACACGTTCTTAGTAAAAGCGATAAACTTCTAGCGCCAGGACTAAAAAGATCATCTCACGACTTAGTCATTTCTCCGTGTTGTCGGACATCCACCTAAAAAATATGATTTTAAAGAAAAACAAGGATCGCCATACGACATTTTAAGGCGTTTGATAAAATTTGTTGACTAGAAAGATTTAAAAACTTCGTTTTTATAAATTGTTAGGGGGTATATAAAAATAACCTATGGTCCACTACGCAGCAGGACATATACTAACCATTCCCTCTCTTTTATTACTCAACCAAATAATTATATAGAGGGTGCAGCGACCCTTCTACACGTCCTAAGTTAGTTTTTGATGCCGACGCTAATTTAGAGAACTGTAGAACACTGATCTTTCTATAAAATAAGACAAAAATTATCGAAAACCGAGAGTTTAAACTTAAGGTTACTATGGTTACATGAAGGGCTATTGGGTAAATAGAATATTAGTGCGTGTTTCTACTTCCTGTTTTTTTTAATTAAGGTTTTTTTAATTTTGTCTAGCCTAGCTTACCCATATAAGCTACGGGTAACCGCCTAGTTTATAATTAGAGATATATATATATCATTTAAGATAGTCATATATTTACTGAAAAAGTTGAGTTTCCTACGAAACAAAGGTTAGCACCACTATCTTTAGGCCACGCTATATAGTTAAAAAATGATTATTTTAATAACATAATAATTTATGTTTTTACTTATGTTATAACCCTGTGATCATTCTATATTCTCCTGTTTTTAACCACCTATAACTTTATAAAAATAATTTTGAAAATTATGTTTAAAAAAATCCTTGCAAAAACAGGTTATTTTCAAGACTGGCTTCACTAAACTTTTTTTTTAACCAACATAATTTAACTATTAAGTTATTTATTGTTTCCCTAAGTGGAAACAATGAAACCTTTAAGTAACTTAGAAAAAATAACTTTACCAAGACCGTAGCTTTTTGTAAGATAAGAGCCCCAGCTATTGTTTCAAGGTAAAATTCTTTATGCAGTTAATAGTAATATTACTTTCCCCTTATATATTGTTTAATCAAATACATGTCATCCTGGTAATTTACAGTTATTAATAAAAATCAGTTCTTTACGACTCTTAACAAACAAGTTAAAGTTACTATAATTTATATAGGTGAAGGGTTACTGAATCACCATAAATATTTTATCACTTGAACATAATATTATTTCAAAGCTAGTTAGGCCAACTGAGTACAAATTCCAGTTTCCCTATAATTGCTTCATTTTATTAATAAAAATACTAGAACACCTCTTAAACTTTGCATTCTTACCTAAAAATTTTATAAAATTAGAAGATACAATAATACCTATATTTAGAATGTAAATCTATTGCGGTAATGAAGTGGACGGAAGAGATCAAAAATAAAACAAATTTGTCTTAAGTTTTTATTCTTTTCGAAAAACGGTTGGACTCCGTATCAGTGGCCATTGATATTCATCGTTGATACTTTTTCTACTATGGAATACTTGTTAGATATAGTTTTCTTCATAAGAAAAACAAAATAAAAAAACTAAAATTGGA